TAGTGGTAAAAGCTAATCACATCCAGTGTTATCAGCCTTAAATATAATGTTATACGGAATTTTTTGATTATGTACATTCATATACTTCCAAGTAGTAATGATATAAAATAATGGTAAAAGAAAAAAACAGTTCAAAGATGTATAATGAATTTTGATAGAAAATTTTGATTTAAGCAAAAAGCTGCGAAGCATCTAAGATTTGCAGACAGGAATAAAAAATCTTACGTCAAAAATAAAATATCAACTAAATATTAGTTCTTCCAGCCTTACTTCTGACATTCCTGATTACATAACAGCAAAATAGAACTCAAACTTAATTCCACTAAAACACTAAACATCTATCCCACAATAGAATGCATATTATATACAGACAATAATTAATGTAATAAAATCTTAACTCTGTACAAAAAAAAAAGAAGGAAAAAAGTATAAAATAAGTATTTAAACATAAAAACAATTACCAACAAACAAAACATTACCCTGTTAATAAATAAAAAAATCATATTTCAGTAAGTTCTTGTTTAACACCACAAAACAACAAATGTAAAAATCATGTCGTACCCTATACATATTTTAATATCAATGCAAGTATTTTTGTTTTTGTTTTTTTTTAAAGAAAAAAAAACATAAAATAAAATAAACAAGTGTTCAAAATAAAATATACAGCTAATATCATAGGAAGATAAATATAAAACAAGAAACATGGCAATGCCATGAAACCAGGTTTTCAATTATCACCATTGTAGATAAATATGTTGTATTTGAAATACAAATACAAGCAACAAACAATGTAACTATGTGCAATGTAAAACATGAATAATGTAGGAGGAATTGCCACTGAAGAAGTGTTCACTATAATATTATGTATAAGGAAAAAAACAAAGGGCCATAATTAGGTCAAAAACTATCCAATCACAAAACCCCGACAATATGTGCCAGGGTGCTTGATGACAAAGCTTCTGTGAAAGTTTGAACAAAATCCGTTGAGAAATGTAGGACGAGTTCAGCACAGAAGAATTTGTTCACTATAATTATATTGATAATTCTGTATAATGAAAAACAAGTTACAAAGTAGACATGAAATAATATATCATATCTTTTTTAAATTACCTCCAAAGATGATATGACCTTTGACTGCCAAATCAAGTTAAAATCATGTAAACAGGATTTTCAATGTTAATGTCACTGTGACCTTGACCTTGGAGCCAGCCATGCGGAACATGCGTTCTGCACGTCATCTTGATGTGGTAAACATTTGTCTGAAGTTTCATCAAAATTCTTCAAAGGGTTGAAGAGTTACAGAGCGGACAGGATTTTCAATGTTAATGTCACTGTGACCTTGACCTTGGAGCCAGCCATGCGGAACATGCGTTCTGCACGTCATCTTGATGTGGTAAACATTTGTCTGAAGTTTCATCAAAATTCTTCAAAGGGTTGAAGAGTTACAGAGCGGACAGGATTTTCAATGTTAATGTCACTGTGACCTTGACCTTGGAGCCAGCCATGCGGAACATGCGTTCTGCACGTCATCTTGATGTGGTAAACATTTGTCTGAAGTTTCATCAAAATTCTTCAAAGGGTTGAAGAGTTACAGAGCGGACACAATTTCGTTTGACGCCCGCCCGCCCATCCGCCCAGCCGCCCATCCGCCCATCCGCCCGCCATACCCCAATCTAATAACCAGGATTTTCAAAATTGAAAACCTGGTTAAAAACTGGTGTAACTTTCCGTTATAATAATGCTACTACCCTAATAATTTATTCAGCTTATGTCACAATTAAACAATTTTTTTTCATATCTTAAATGTAAAATAATATCACAAATTAACAAAATTACCCTGTTAATAATAAGAAAATGATATTTTGGTAAGTTCTTGTTTAACACCTCAAAACAAAAAATGTAAAAATAACGTTGTACCCTTTACATGTATATACATGTATTATATAAAACGCGAACCAGATGTTTCGCCTATATATACAGAAGGCTGATGTAAGATTCTTGTCATGTCATGAATCATTAACATGAAGTAATTAAAATAAAAATGACAGTTTTTCTGTTTTAAAAAATTAATATGACAATTTTTGTGTTCTAGAATAGACTAAGAGTGACAGTTGTGTTCTAGAATAAAATCAAAGTGACATTTTTTGTGTTCTTAAATAAATTAAAAATGACAGTTTTTGTGTTCTAAAAAAGAACAAAGTGACACTAATTATGTTCTAAAATAATGTAAAATTGACATTTTTTGTGTTCTAAAAACAAAGTAAAATTGACATTTATTGTGCTCTAAAATAATAAAAAAGTGACACTTGCTGTGTTCTAAAATAATGTAAACTGACATTTTTTGTGTTCTAAAAAAAAGTAAATTTGACATTTATTATGCTCTAAAACAATTTTTGTTCAAGAATAGACTAAGAGTGACAGTTGAGTTAATCAAAGTGACATTTTTTGTGTTCTTGAATAAATTAAAAATGACAGTTATTGTGTTCTAAATAGAACAAAGTGACACTAATTATGTTCTAAAATAATGTAAATTGACATTTTTGTGTTCTAAAAACACAAAGTAAAATTGACATTTATTGTGCTCTAAAATAAAGAAAAGTGACACTTGTTGTGTTCTAAAATATAAAAAACACATACACGTGTTACAGAAACCTTCAGGGGCTAATCAACACATTTTATTTCTTCTATTTTTCAAAAGTCTGACCAAATTTTCTTTAAATCAAAATTAGTTTATCAATAGTACATGTAGTATATTACAGCTATAAAATCTAAATATCTCTATCACAGACAAAATAAATGTAACATAAAAAATATAAATATTTATCACATAAATCGCAGCGCAGGAGTGTAATAAATAGCCATTTAATAAAAACGATATAACACTAGTGTAATAACACTTTGATGTGACGTCATTTGCGCTATATATAAACATAGTGCTAAAGCGCGCTAATGTTGGCCTTACACTATAGGCGCATCATTGAAAAATTACTAATTTTAACAGTTTACTGTTCTTATTTTATATATATGATAAATAGAATATCTTATTTATGTAGATTCAATACTAAATTCATTGAACTCGTTGAATAAAACAATATTATGCTCGCCAGAGGCTCGCATAATATGATTTTATTCAACTCATTCAATAAATTTAAAATTAAACCTACTTTCATTCAATATCCTCTATATATACATGTACATAATGCTTGCATGTATATAGATACTTATATATATACACACTTATATACACTTGGTAATAGGAATGTAATAAAATATAAAAATATTAAATAACTATAAAAGAAAGAAATACATAATGTAGTTTTTATATAATTTGTATAAAAATAGTTATACATCTATGTGCATGAATGTAAACTTATTCATAATTTATTAACACATTAAAGTAAATTGGTCTACAATGTTCATATTTCTTAATAAATATTTCAAATATTTCGTAGAAACAACAGGAATGTATCATTTGAATATTTGTATAAAATATCACTTAAAGAAAGGAATGTTAATGAAGTTGTGAAGTGATTAAGAATGAACATTTATAATGATGAATAATAATATTTTGCTCTGGATCACTATTAGGTCATATATAAATATATGTTATATCGCAATCATGTATCTCACACTTGCCAACAACATTTATAATATAATGCCTCCATGATTTGTCATTATGTCTGAAACTTAAAGGGACTCCACTGAGGTTTAAAAGCCTAAAATCATAACATTTGAATTTCTAACATAAATGAGCTTTGGGCACTTTAAACAGAAATATATGCAAAGATAGTTAAGAAATATACTTTGAAATAAATTGAAAATCGTATTAATATGCTTTTCTTAGACCGATTTGAGTGAAAAGTGTTTAAAAGCTTTCCATTTGGGTCATTTTTTTACAATTTGAATAATTATTCTTGAAAAACAAAGTGCATCATTGATCTGAAACTTTGCACAAAGATAAGTGGTCTAAACCTACATCAAATGGTACATTTATCTGGAAAAAATATTTTCAGTTCCATCATGTCAAAAAACCTCAGGGAGTCCCTTTAATACTATAAAGTGATAATTATTTATTGTATTCCAGACCTTTCATTACAGACCAATTCACTTTGAATGCTGTATATGCAAAAAATGCACTTAAATAACTTTGTATCTTCAGATTCATTATTACAATTCTAACACTCACACAGTAAGGGTAATATTTGCAAATTTTGACACAATGTAATAATATATTTGTCAAGACCTTACAGCTAACATTAACTTCCTTTCCTTCTAAAAAGTTTGTTTATTTAACAATATTGTAACTATTTCAAATACTTCATACACTTTTGTTAAAAAAAAATACAAACATCTGAAGGTTCTTAAAAAAGAATATTTATCCAATATATTGTGATATACTTGTTGAAAATTGCACTCTCAATATTGTTTGATATATCTATAATCTATAAAGATACAAATTTACAAAATTCATTAATACTGACTTTAAAAAAAGTATAACATTTTCATCATTACTGAGTATTTTGATTTATGTCAATTGTATAAAAAAAAACAGCTTTATTTGATATATATTAAATTTCTTTTTTTTTCTATTAGTCTCTGATCTGAATCTGTTGTCATACATTTAACTACTCATTCCCAAACAATAAATCAAAAGTTCTAGCCCCCCCCCCCCCCACCCTCCAAAAAAAAAAATGAAAAAAAAAAAAAAATAAGTAAAATAAAAGTAAAAAATTCCCAAACAATTTAAAACGTTTCTGGTTTCAAAACAATTTATCAAGGTTTCTGGTTCAATCTATGAAAATCTCTAGTTCCCAATCAATATATCAAAAGTTCTAGCTACATTACAAACAATTTACTTATGATTCCCATTCCCAAACAATTTATTAATGATTCTGGTTCCTAAACAATAAATTCATGATTCTGGTTCCCAAACAATTAATTAATGATTCTTGTTTCCCAAACAATTAATTTATGATTCTGGTTCCCAAACAATTAATTGATGATTTTGGTTCCCAAACAATTAATAATTCTGGTTCCTAAACAATTAATTCATGATTCTGGTTCCCAAACAATTAATTCATGATTCTGGTTCCTAAACAATTAATTAATGATTCTGGTTCCCAAACAATTAATTCATGATTTGGGTTCCCAAACAATTAATTAATGATTCTGGTTCCCAAACAATTAATTGATGATTCTAGTTCCTGCACAATTGATTGTTGATTCTGGTTCCTAAACTCTGGTTTCCGCACAATTGATTGATGATTTTTCCCAAACAATTAGTTAATAATTCTGGTTCCTAAACAATTAATTAATGATTCTGATTCCCAAACAATTTATGTATGGTCGATTCTATGCTAAGCTGCTGGCTGGTTTCCTGCCTAATGGTTGTATCTGGTTCCCTCTGCTGTTAGGTCTACGGAATGAGTCATGTTCCATCAGATGGCTAGCGTCCAGTGTTGATGGTTTGTTCCCATTACTTGTTTTCGCTAGGATAGGACGTTTATCCTCATCGTGAGCCAGGCCACGATCCTAAGAAAAACAAAATGTGTAAAATGGCAGTTTTCATAAAAATTCTTTGTAACATGTAAATTTGATAATAACTAAAACAATTTCATGTAAAAATGTAAATTTGATAATAACTAAAACAATTTCATGTAAAATGTAAATTTGATAATAACTAAAACAATTTTATATAAAATGTAAATTTGATAGTCAATGGCAATAGCTGAAACCTGAGTAGAAGCACTGATTGTACAAAAACTAGCTGGAGAGCTTCCTTACATAAAACAACAACAACAACAAACAAACAAACTAACGTCCCTACTCATAGGATTCAAACAGACAGCTGTGACATGCAAGTTGTTAAGTCAGCAACAATAAGAACATAGCCACTTGACCATAGACACCACTCAATGAACTAACTAGTGCAGGTGTAAAACATTATATATCATATTACATATGTATTAAAGGCCAATGATAAACTTACTGTTCTAATGTGTACAGAATTTTCTTTCTTCCAGTCCTTTTTCCTTTTCTTATCCTGTAAATGAAGTACAATGTTTATATTAATACAACAAAGCTTATATAGTTCTATAGCATATTAATAATACTTTCTGTCTGCTTTTACCTGTGATGGAGTGAGGGGGTGGGGCGACGGTTAGGTGAAGAGACGATAAGATTAGACACTTAATCTATTCATTCAGGTTCTGTTGGTATAATACATGTACTATATCTTCATCAGGTTATTTACCAGCAAATAATTAAATATTATTTTATAAGTATAAGTCTCTCTTCCAAAGGAAATAACTGTTTCAAATTCAAAATAAAGTAAATCAATTACAATAATGCAGCAGATCAATTACAACAAGAAATTTCGAACGACACATATGCCCCCCCCCCCCTCGGGCCCTCCCACTCACATTACTGGTTATTTTGTTATAGAAACTTGCCATAAATGGGTACATGGAAGTGTTTATTTATGCGAAAAAGATAAACCATTCTGGCATTTATGGCACTTGTGACCCTGACCTTTAACCGAATTACCCCAATAGGGGTCATTTAATAGTTATGACCTATCAACATGTGAAATATAAAGAATTTGTATTAAAAAGTTTTCAAGATAATAAGCGGAAACTGCCCTGACATTTAAAACCCTAGTGATCTAGACCTTTGCCCTAGTGACCCCAAAATCAATAGGGGTCATCTACTATAGATGACCAATCACTATATTAAATATGAAGACTTTGTGATGAATAGCTCGGAAACCATTCTGATATTTAAGGCCCCTGTGACCTTTTTCTTTGACCTAGTGACCCCAAAATTAATAGGGGTCATCTACTAGTTACAACCAATCATTTTATTAAATATGAAGACTTTGTGATGAATACTTTCCAAGATTATCAGTGGAAACCATTCTGATATTTAAGGCCCCTGTGACCTTGACCTTTGACCTAGTGACCCCAAAATTAATAGGGATCATGTACTAGTTACGACCAATCACTATGTGAAATATGAAGACTTTGTGATGAATAGTTTTCAAGATAATCAGGCTAAACCATGTGGTCTACCGATGGACAGACCGACTGACCAACCTTCCGACCGACATTAGCAAAACAATATTCCCCCTCTTCTTGGAAGGGGGCATAATAATTCAGCAAGTAAAGTGTTAAGTTACAGGCCAAGGAGGACAAAATCATTTAATAAAGTCAACAGTGTAAAACTTTTTTCTAGGTCAATCTCAGATGGAAGTAAAAGAAATGACACTTACTATACACCAGACTATGATACACAGTGGTATATACAAAACCAGGGAAAATCCTGTTACACATGCCACCATATTTGTCTTGAAGGCTTCCACTGAAAAATAAGAAACAATATGATTGGGAAAAATGGAAGAAAAGTTATAAAACCTCATTAGATCTACTTTTTTTTGTAAACTGTCTACAGCAGAAATTGTTTGTTTAATTTCTAATTTATCTATTCACTCACTGTTTATTGTTTTAGGGGTGAGGGCGTTAAATTTAAGGGGAACGGTGGCCTAGTGGTTTGTCTGCCTCTCAACCCAGAGATCATGAGTTCGAGCCCTACTCGGGTCATGACCATGTTTCTTCACCTACACCAGTACTGGTTGGACTCGAAAGTGATTAATATAAGTTGCAAGAACTTGTTTCGCAATCAAGCTTAAATAAATATGTTTAAACCAAATTTACAGAATCATATTGTTCAAACCTTTTCCTGATTTTTTTTTTGCGCCCACATTTAAAAACATCTACTTTGGTCATATCTTGGCAGCGGATCAACCAAACCAGCATTTTCATGGCTTACTAACCAGTTATTACCAATTTATCTGTTAGTAACGGACTAGTAATTGACCATGCTTTTGAATCAGCAAAGAGAGGCAAATGACTGTTAAATGCAACGCAAAATCAGTAATCATGGTGAAATTTCAACTCGCCAAAAGATCAAACTGGCATTAACTGAATTACAAATTGGAAGCTCTCCCTTGCCAACATGGATGCTCTCCCTTGAATTACAAATTGGACGCTCTCCCTTGAATTACAAATTGGATGCTCTCCCTTGAATTACAAATTGGATGCTCTCCCTTGAATTACAAATTGGATGCTCTCCCTTGCCAACATGGATGCTCTCCCTTGAATTACAAATTGGAAGCTCTCACTTGAATTACAAATTGGATGCTCTCCCTTAAATTACAAATTGGATGCTCTCCTTTGAATTACAAATTGGATGCTCTCCCTTGAATAACAAATTGGACGCTCTCACTCAAATTACAAATTGGATGCTCCCCCTTGAATTACAAATTGGATGCTCTCACTTGCCAACATATTTACCTTATCAAGTGGAGAAATAGCAGCATATTAGCCAATTAATGATCAGATTAACCACTTAAATAAGACCTGTTTAACATTAGAAAAAATAAATAGTGATGACATTCAAATCACAGTACATTATTATTGTTGCTGAGGCATGTTTGCTCTAGAAAGGTTTAATTTATTGTCAACTCTTTCAGGAAAGAATTAAAGATATTTTTGTAAGGGGGTACTAGATCTACTTTATAAAGTGGTCTTTTGCAGAGGCTGCAATTGTTATTGCTTTACAAAGACCTGCTCTGGAGAGGTTACAAAAGGTTAAAGGTTTGATAAAGGTTGCTAAGCAGAGATTGAAATAGAAGGGTCCTCTCTTGTTATGGTACTTGACATACTGGGGAAAATGTGTTGATTTTATACAGTAACCTAGGCCTTCATTTTGAAAAAAAAAAAAGTGCAAAAAGCAAATTTCAGAGAAATTTGTTTCACTCTGGGCAAAAATGACAATTATGCATTATAAATACTATCAAACCATGTTATATTTACAATAAAACACTTGAACACTAATGTTATTTTAATGCTAATTGGTGTACAAAAAAAGAAAACAAGAGCACCGCTAGGCGGAGCATTATATGCCCGAAAATGTTTTTTTTTTTAGTAAGGATGAAGCATTTGTAAGACATGGGAATTAGCTGTTCATCCTATAAAATTTTACAGATGTAGGTTGATTAATACTTAAGTTATTAATAAGGACCTTAACCTTTGACCTTGTGACCCTAAAATCAATAGGGGTCTTCTACCTTATATGGACAATCATCCTAAGGAGTTTGAATATTGTGGGCCAAATGGAACTTCAGTTATGCTCCGGAAACTGTTTTCAATTTTAAGGTGACCTTTGACCTTTTGACCCCAAAATCAATAGGGGTCTTCCACCCAATATGGACAATCATCCAAAGAAGTTTGAACATTGTTGGTCAAATGGAACTTAAGTAATGCTTCGGAAACTGTTTTCAGTATCAAGGTAAAAGTGACCTTGACCTTTGCCCTTTTGACCCCAAAATCAATAGGGGTCTTCTACCCAATATGGACAATCATCCTATGAAGTTTGAACATTGTGGGCCAAATGGAACTTAAGTTATGCTCCGGAAACCAAATTGCTAACGGACAAATTGCTAACGGACGGAAACTGTTTTCAGTATTAAGGAAATAGTGACCTTGACCTTTGACCTTTTGACCCCAAAATCAATAGGGGTCTTCTACCCAATATGGACAATCATCCTATGAAGTTTGAACATTGTGGGTTAAATGAAACTTAAGTTATGCTCCGAAAATGTTTTCAGTTTTAAGTAATAGTGACCTTGACCTTTTGGACCCCAAAATCAATAGGGATCTTCTACCCAATATGGACAATCTTCCTATGAAGTTTGAACATTGTGGGCCAAATGGAACTTAAGTTATGCTCCCGAAACCAAATTGCTAACGGACAAATTGCTTACGGACGGAAACTGTTTTCAGTATCAAGGTAATAGTGCCCTTGACCTTTGACCCCAAAATCAATAGGGGTCTTCTACCCAATATGGACAATCATCCTATGAAGTTTGAACATTGTGGGTCAAATGGAACTTAAGTTATGCTCCGGAAACTGTTTTCAGTTTTAAGGTAATAGTGACCTTGACCTTTGACCTTTTGACCCCAAAATCAATAGGGGTCTTCTACCCAATATGGACAATCATCCTATGAAGTTTGAACATTGTGGGTCAAATGGAACTTAAGTTATGCTCCGGAAACCAAATTGCTAACGGACAAATTGCTAACGGACGGAAACTGTTTTCAGTATCAAGGTAATAGTGACCTTGACCTTTGACCTTTTGACCCCAAAATCAATAGGGGTCTTCTACCCAATATGGACAATCATCCTATGAAGTTTGAACATTGTGGGTCAAATGGAACTTAAGTTATGCTCCGGAAACTGTTTTCAGTTTTAAGGTAATAGTGACCTTGACCTTTGACCTTTTGACCCCAAAATCAATAGGGGTCTTCTACCCAATATGGACAATCATCCTATGAAGTTTGAACATTGTGGGTCAAATGGAACTGAAGTTATGCTCCGGAAACCAAATTGCTAACGGACAAATTGCTAACGGACGGAAACTGTTTTCAGTATTAAGGTAATAGTGACCTTTGACCTTTTGACCCCAAAATCAATAGGGATCTTCTACCCAATATGGACAATCATCCTATGAAGTTTGAACATTGTGGGTCAAATGGAACTTAAGTTATGCTCTGGAAACCAAATTGCTAACGGACGGAAACTGTTTTCAGTATCAAGGTAATAGTGACCTTGACCTTTGACCTTTTGACCCCAAAATCAATAGGGATCTTCTACCCAATATGGACAATCATCCTATGAAGTTTGAACATTGTGGGTTAAATGGAACTTAAGTTATGCTCTGGAAACCAAATTGCTAACGGACAAATTGCTAACGGACGGAAACTGTTTTCAGTATCAAGGTAATAGTGACCTTGACCTTTGACCTTTTGACCCCAAAATCAATAGGGATCTTCTACCCAATATGGACAATCATCCTATGAAGTTTGAACATTGTGGGTCAAATGGAACTTAAGTTATGCTCCGGAAACCAAATTGCTAACGGACAAATTGCTAACGGACGGAAACTGTTTTCAGTATCAAGGTAATAGTGACCTTGACCTTTGACCTTTTGAGCCCCAAAATCAATAGGGATCTTCTACCCAATATGGACAATCATCCTATGAAGTTTGAACATTGTGGGTCAAATGGAACTTAAGTTATGCTCCGGAAACCAAATTGCTAACAGACGGACGGACGGACGGACGGACAGACGCCAGGGGGTATAACATAATATGGCCTTTCGGGCATATAAAAAAGTATGACTCCAATTGTTTAGGTGCAAAATGCTGGAAAAAGAATTGAATTGGTTACCACTTATGTAATAAGGAAGCATCACTTATTCCCCATTGCTGCTTGTTTTACTCATTAATTTACGGATTTTGGAGTAAAAATTTTTGGGTAATTTTTGAAGTCAGATATTGTTAATTGCAGTCTATGCGAAAGTCAATTTTTTTTCCAGGCCACAAGGACCGAGACCCTTAGGTTTATTTCCGGCCCGGATGATATTTTTCCGGCCCAGACATTTCAAGCATTATTTTATAATAACTCGGTTGAATGTAAAAATGATTGTCTTTCTTTAAATTAGTGAGACTATCAATATAGAAACATAAGAAGATGCTGACCAATTGAAATAACTTAAGCAGGGTTCTCACTAGGTTTTTAAAAAGAGGAGTCCTTGGACTCCCAAGCACAGAAAAAGCTTTTTATTCAGGAAAATGGTAGTATGTCCCAAATGGAATACATTGAACCATAAAAGTGATTGAAAAGATTTGAAATATAATTTCAAAAACCCTACATCATCAGACCATTATGCTGTTTTCTTCCAGATTCACTCCACACACCCCCCTCCCTAGCCTGGGATTCAGGCGTTGATATTTTTTTGCTTATTCATAACTTACGCGCTATTTCATACTCGATCGTCATAGATAACACAACATCTCTGGTTTTGAAAGTATCAAGTGTCGATTCGCCGAACAGAAGCACATAAAAATCGACAGACTGGAACCCAGGCTACCCCCTCCCATCAGAAAATATTCATTGTATGTGACAAACACATATACTGGTAAATACCTCCATCTCAACTAATGTGAACAATATATTTAGTAATTTTAATTCTTAAACTACATTTAAGTGTTATTACACACATTTTAACAAAACAAAGTTTCCTTTTAGTTACGATTTTTTAATGATAAAAAGCGGCATCGCGAAAATATGTGACAATTGAAAATTTGTCTGTTTCCTGCAGAAACATTCACAATTCTACTTGTTGTTGATTTTGATTATATTAGATTAAATATTTTTTGATTATTTTAAGATTGTTACTCATCGGCTATTTCAATAGGCATCATAAAACAAAATTTTCAAATCTGTAATTTACGGCAAAATTTACCGTTGTTGATGAAACTTTTTGAAGACAGAGCTGACTGGTATTTATTTGACAGGTACAAAATAGATCTAAGGTTGGTCAATATCTTCTTTAATAAATTCTTTGCATCACCGGGTACTTTTTATCAATCATGTCATTGATATTTTTGACTTTTTAAAAATTTTATTCGGACATGAGGACTGACGGAAAGGAATTTTTCTCGGACCGCATGATTTTTATTCAGCCAGGGCCGAGGACCGACGGACTTTCGCACAGACTGTAATTGGGAATAGTCCTGTTTTCCTAAGGGACAAAAACACACTAAAGAGGTAATTGCTTTACAAAGATTAACAAAGGTTTATTAAACAAATCTTTAAAGAAATCAGAAAGATCTTCTTTTTTTTGTAATAATAATTGACTATCATTTTATGGATAGTGTAAATAGAAATGCAACTTTATTTTATCATAGGTTCTATGCATTATGTTTAAAACAATAAGCAAGTAATTTACCTATCAAATCAATGGAAATTTCATCTATTAGATCCCATAACCTTCCAACAAGATCAGTTGTCACTTTGTTACACACACCCTGAAAATATAGAAAAATATAACTGGTATAATAAATAAAAATTTAACATAAATTAATTTATTTTTTTTAAATTATTTTTATCCCATTTAAAATGTTTCTGTTATCATATTCTAATAAAATGCCAAGTTTAAAAAAGTTCTATTGAACAGTTTTAATTTTGCCTATAATTGTGTCTATATGAAAACTCTGGAAAACGTTTTTAATTCCGAAATACTAATAACTAAATGGATTCATTTCAAAGGGTTGTAGAGTAATTAGGATGAAATCTAAAAGCTAGAAAGTCAAGACTAGACATTGCTCCTGGTATTTGGAAAATAAAAAAACACGCTTATATCACAGTTTACTTTTTGTTTTCAGCAAGTTAAAAATCAAAAATAACGAAAGAGTGTTCCAAATTGACATACATGTGAACTGTCCCACTTTAAACCGGAAACTCCCACTTTCTGCAGCCATATTTTCAAAGATTTTTCTTAAAATAAGGGGTATTTTCACAAATAAAAGAAATATCCCTCTTTTTGATGTCAGAACTTTCTTCTTTGTTGTTTACAAATTTTAAAACCTTCCTCTTTTTGAAGAAAAACCTCCCAAATGATCATCAAAAAAAGTTCTCATGTATGAATTGGAGGCACGGCAAAGTCAATATACAAATAAAATAGTTAATTAAACATATCTATACACTACATACAGATTCACAGTAACCTTGGACACATGACCTTCCATCCGGTAACAGATAGGATCCTTCAACCTGACATTGTCCATTTATTATACAGCATCTCTTACATGATGTCTCAACTAGAGAGGGAAAAAAACAACAAATTTCAGTTTTAAAGTTAGCATAAGCTTATCTGTAAAGAAAGCTTTAAGCTTATTTGGACCCAATTTCAAGCTCACTTTATAAAGCCAACCAGTACTGGTGAAATATAAGGAAATATGGTTATGGCAGTGAAGTCCTAAAACACAACAATTAGTTAGTGCACATTTTATAATTTCCATTAGGCTTTTTCATTCTTCTATAGCAGGGGCTGGTTTAGGGGGGCTGCTTCGCCTTTCACTAATCATAGAGTGAAGTTAATCAGTAAATAACATGCCCATAAATTTTCATCAAAAACAAAATTACACAAAATAAGTTCAACAGTAAATGTGGATCTAATGTTAAATAAATTAAGGAGCAATCTTGTACAAAACAAAACAGTGTGGTGGCATGGCTGAGTGGTCAATGCATCAAACTAGTAATCTATGGTTCTATAACAGCTTGGGTTCAAACCCTGTCAGGAGCAAGCAATTATTCCCTTGAGCAAGAAATTTGTCACTCACTGCTTAGTACTGGTTAGTTCCAGGAACAGATTCCAAAGTGCTTCTATAAGGTTATCATAAGCCTCCTACACAAGCAAACTAAAACAAAATTGACTTCATTTAATGTTTTTTTTGGTTTGTTTTGGGTTTTATGTCACATCTACACAGTATAGGTCATATTGCGACGTTCCAGCTTTACTGGTGGAGGAAGACCTCAGGTGCCCTTCTGTGCAATATTTCAGGCACGAACAGGCACCCGAGTAGAACCATCGATGTTCCGTAAGCTAGCTGGATAGCTTCCTCACATGAAAGAATCCAAAGTCCCTGTCGGGATTCGAACCCACAGCAATCATGCTGTACAGTAATATACATACCTGTATCACAAACACAAGAGTTTGTACTCAGCATATATTCACAGAATGGTATACATACTCCAGTCTGACAAAAACCTCTGAAATAAAAACAAAATAATTTCTGTAAAATCATTGTTATTTGTGGGGCATGAATTTTCGTGGTTTTCGTGGGTAGGTCAATCCACGAATTTAAGATCCGACGAAATTTTATCCAAACAAATATTTCTTGCCATGTCTTATTCTATATATAACAAACATGCATCTGCTCTTTTCCACCGAATTTTTGTTTAATGAATGCCCAGAGGCAAGGATTAATTTTATAGACAAGCGCTGTGTGATACACATAAAGATATGTACATGCGTTAAGTAAAATTAAGCAATTAAGTTTAAGATTACTTGCATTAGATAATTTACTTTATTTATTTTTTTTAACAAGAAATTGAAAATCCACAAATTTAAGAACCCACAAAAATGCCCATTTTCATAAAACCACGAAATTTCATGCCCAAGAATATAAGTGAATTCACAGTATATCAATTATCCAGCTTGTCATATTCTTATATTAGACTAAATTTGTTGAATAAATTCTGATAAATTTTTCATACTGGATCAAGTTTGATATAAATTACATCTGTAACTTTCTTATATTGCTAAATTCTAATATTTGACCAAGTTTTGTAAGAAATTAACCTTCATAATTATAAGAAGAAAATCAATAAATTACCCACGCACATCCTAATACATTAAAGTTGACTGAATTTTCAATTGCTAACTTTTAAACATTGGACCATGCAAATCAGGTAAATTACCCCTCATCAATTTTTCATATGGGACCATATATGTTAACTTTCTTATGTAAGACCATGTTAACTTTCATATGTAAAACCATTTTAACTTTTTTATGTAAGACCAAGTTTATTAAATTATCCCTAATTAATGTTTTCATATTGGACCATTTGATAAAATACATAAATTACCCATGTTAAAAACCAAGTTTGGTAAATTACCCCTCGTTAATTTTTTTCATATTTGATAATTTGATTAATTACATAAACTATCCCTTTTCACTTTCTTTTATTAGACCAAATTTGGTAATTTTTTTCATATGGGACCATTTGATAAATTAAATAAATTACCCATGTTAACTTTCATATATAGGTCCAAGTTAGGTAATCAACCTCAAGCTTATTCAACTAAATTTGATAGATCATCAACTGCTGTAGTTATTATAATACATGTATAATACATTAGGTGGTGACGTGTGGTTTTTCTTTGTCCTCCACTACCTCTAGTTTATTATAATACATGTATAATATATCTACCAATTACTCAAAGTACAATAAACAGGACTGATTGATACAAACAAACAGGTAAATCCCTTGAGACTGAAAATAAATTCAGGGAGCACTGAAAATCCTTAAAAAAAACGTAGTTTGAATAATTCAGTCAATGAGCTTAAAACAGTTATTTTGTTGTTGTTTTTTTTTACTTTAGGAACTTTGTATTTATCACTAGAGAATGGTAGAAGAGAAGATCATATATTTACCCCTCTATACACTCTGTACCATCTGGCTTGTTTGGTGGTGTTGGACAATCAAAACTGATACCAGTAATTACAGTTAAGGTAAACTGCATATTGTTATTTAAATAGCAACTATATGTTTTTATAATCATCTCAATTTTTCAACTAAAGCATTTGATTTTGACAATCCAATATAAATCCTGTATTGGACCATGTAGTATCCAATAAATTTCATAATGGACAGTTGAAGAAACAAATAGATTTTTACTTCCTTAGAAAAGACAAAGATGAATTTTAAAACATATAAATAATGATTTGAGATATTGTAAGATGCTTGTAACCTGTAGCAAGTAGAGCTTAATGTGAAATAATTTGTCACAAAAGTAGCAAAATGTAAACAAAGTAGTATTTTGACTTCCATACAAAATACTAAATCACTTGAACTATGATACTATATCTCAAACAAAGTTATGAGTGACAACTCACTATAACAAGTTTATATACAAAAAGGGATGAATGAATATAGGTTTATGAAAGCTTTCTGACTATATGTACTTGAAATTTTATTGCTTATACCCCTATACTTCTTAATCATAATACCACACGTTTTCATTGGATAACCGTGATGTTTATATGGTTTTATATACATGGCTGATGTTAATTTTCCCTCTTAAAAAGGAAGTTTGCTGTTACTGTATTATAAATTTGTTATAAATTTTAAGAAACTTGGCATCTTATATGACCATATATAAATGGTTGTTTACAATATAACACTTGCTTTGCAGCTTGGGTTATATATGCATACAGCCATTTATAAAGAGCCATATAACATGTCAGAAATCTTTATAACTAATATTATAATACTACACGTTTGTAACATAGCTTTTCATTGGATAATCATGATGTTAAGTTTTATATACACGGCTGTTGACTATTCATGAAGAAATCTTACTTTTTTCTCTAAAAAACGATGCTTGCTGTATTATAAATTTGTTATAAAGATTGTTGACAGGTTATATGGCCGTATATAAACGGCTGTTTGCAATAAAACCCTCGCCCAGCGGCTCGGGTTAAATTCACAATAGCCATTTATATAGGGGCCATATAACCTGTCAACAACTTTATAACTAATAATACAATAGCTTACACTCTCAGAAACAGACAGACAGACAAACAGACAGACAGACTATGTGTAGATAAAAGGATATTTGCATGTAGATGCCCCCTGACATAGTCCATCAATATCACTCTGACAAACAAAAGTAGATGATGCTAGTTGACACTGCTCACAACATGCTGAATTTGCTGGGCTAAAAATAGACATTTAAATTTCATGTTTGATTAGCAAAAATACACATTTAAATTTCTGGTTTGATGAAAAAAACAGACATTTAAATTTCATGTTTGATTAAAAAAGTAGACATTTAAATTTCATATTTGATTTGCAAAATTGAAAATATTTTTCAAAATTCATGATTTCTAGTCAAAATGTAATCATTCCAATTGCCTTAGTTGAATTGGATCATAATCATTACAAAGTAGTTTCGTTTTTGGATCATCTAATACCCAAAGTCACATGACAATCACATGGCACAAATTTATTAATAAGCTATGCAAGTTATTGCCATTTTCTTATGTAATGCCTTTTGTTAGTCATTTGTAAAGTTGAAACAGATACATGTACAGGAGACGAAGTCCTGTGCTTTGGAGTTTTAACACGATTTCCTTCAACTTACCGAAGTTCTACTGTACATGTACTCAAATTACTTATATTAATTAACATGATATAAATAGAACAGTTATAAAACAGAAGACCTTACATTAGTCTACTTGCAACAATTTACAGGTATATCTAAATATAATTACTGTACCTGCATTAGCCTACTTGTATACAGGTATATCTAAATATAATTACTGTACCTGCATTGAGCACCAGGTATAAACTGACAGGCATCTGTACAACAGTCTCCGCCCCCAAGTTTCCCTATCAACCCTTCATCACATTCTTCTCCTGGATCTATACGACTGTTACCACATAAAGTAACCTCAGATGCAGCTGTAAGTTATATTAGAAGTAAGATATTAGACCTGCGTTAGGGCTGACATTGATGGAAAATTTTGTATTCATATATCGAATGACAAATATCGACAATACATCGATGTATCTAGATGGCAAAATTACCTCATCCTAGACAAGTAGTTCCATTCTTATATGTGCTAAAATAAAGTTATATTTACTATAGTTCATTCATAAAAACATGCTTAAATGATGTCATTTTGGAGCATGCAACAAATCTGGCCTTGGGCATTTCATACAAGATGAAATGTTTTGGCATGGGGTTAATACTAAAGGGAACACCAGTCGGACGTGCAAGAAATAATATTGAGTGAGACTCAAAAAAGGATTGGAGCACCACACTTAATACCGTGTTCCGGTACATACCGGACACGGCGCTTGAATGATAAAATGCTAAAATCTCGCCTTTTTACCCATCGGAATGAACTTATAAGGGTCTAATTCATCTTTTCACACAGATTTATGTATAATAATGAATAAAAAATGTAATAATCGACAAAAAAAAAGATTTTTGCCTATTTTGTGATCATGATTTCTGCAAGCATCTAAAAAAACAAGCATCTAATGGTAGTGCTCCAATCCTGTATCGAGTTAAATCGAAAAATATTCATACTAAAATAAAATCAAAAAGAGTAGATAATGACATATACCTTCAAAACAGCCGCTAGCTTTATTTCTCAATACAGCACTCATAGAGTTACGACTGCAACTGGAAAACTCCTATAATTAACATGTAAACAAAATTGAAATTATTTAAAGATGAAAAATGCAGTTATTGAGTTAAAACAGTAATCAGTTCCTTGAAAAAACATTATGCAGTGTCACATCTGGAAACCGAACACATATGGGACTTGCAAAAAAGTTCAAACTTTGAAAGTTTTCGGAAGCCTTTTTCAATGTCCAAATTTTGGAAGTAGACTTTGATAAAAAACCAAATTTTACCAGCAAATGGTTTGGAATTCAGAAGTATGAATAACATAGAAAACAGAAGAAGAAATTTCATGACCTTGAAAATTGTTTGGATTTCCAAAGTTTCCAGATATCAAAAGTATCCAGATTTAAGCAGTTTAAGAATTTGGATGATTCCGGATTTTAGAAGTTCTGTATTTCAGAAGTTTTCAGATTTTAGAAGTTCCAAATTTTAGAAGTTTTCATATTTTAGAAGTTTCCAGATTTCAAAAGTTTCATGATTTCAGAAGTTCCGGAATTCAGAAGTTTCCAGATTTTAGAAGTTCCGGAAGTCAGAAGTTTCTGGATTTTATAATTTTCCGGAATTCTGAAGTAACACTATAGTAAAACATGCTTACGTCATTGTTGGTGTCCTCACCAGTAACAGCATAGGCATACATCAGATATTTCCCATCATCAAATATACTAGATGGAGAACAACTGCCTGACGGATCGTGCTCACTTCCCCAATTATGTCCTGTAATTTAATAAACCATAGTCACTCTGTAATTTAATAAATCATAGTCACTACCCTAATTATGTCCTGTAATTTAATACTTCACTATTCACTAATTATGTCATGTAATTCAACAGTATCAGATGAACCATGGCTACTTCCCCAATTGTGTCCTGTAATTTAATAAACCATGGTCACTCCCACAATTATGTCCTGTAATTTAATAAACCATGGTCACTCCCACAATTATGTCCTGTAATTTAATAAACCATAGTCACTCCCACAATTATGTCCTGTAATTTAATTAACCATGGTCACTACCCCAATTATGTCCTGTAATTTAATAAACCATAGTCACTCCCACAATTATGTCCTGTAATTTAATAAACCATGGTCACTTCCCCAATTATGTCCTGTAATTTAATAAACCATGGTCACTCCCCCAATTATGCCCTGTAATTTATTAAACCATGGCCACTACACCAATTATGTCCTGTAATTTAATAAACCGTGGTCACTATACTAATTATGTCCTGTAATTTAATAAACAAAGGTCACTTCCCCAATTAAGTCCTGTAATTTAATGAACCATGGTCACTCCCCCAATTATGTCCTGTAATTAAATAAACCATGGTCACTTCCCTAATATTGTCCTATAATTTAATAAAACCATGGTCACTTCCCAAATTTTGTCCTGTAATGTAATAAACAAAGGTCACTCCCCCAATTATGTCCTGTAATTTAATAAACCATGGCCAATCTCCAAATTATACCCTGTAATTTAATAAACCATGGTCACTACACCAATTATGTCCTGTAATTTAATAAACCATGTCACTTCACCAATTATGTCCTGTAATTTAATAAACCATGGTCACTTCCCCAATTATGTCCTGTAATTTAATAAACCATGTCACTTCACCAATTATGTCCTATAATTTAATAAACCATGGTCACTATACTAATTATGTCCTGTAATTTAATAAACCATGTCACTTCACCAATTATGTCCTGTAATTTAATAAACCAAGGTCACTTCCCCAATTAAGTCCTGTAATTTAATAAACCATGGTCACTCTCCCAATTATGTCCTGTAATTTAATAAACCATGGTCACTTCCCCAATTAAGTCCTGTAATTTAATAAACCATGGTCACTCCCCCGATTATGTCCTGTAATTTAATAAACCATGGTCACTCCCCCGATTATGTCCTGTAATTTAATAAACCATGGTCACTTCCCCAATTATGCCCTGTAATTTAATAAACCATGGTCACTTCCCTAATTATGTCCTGTAATTTAACAGAATCTGATGAACCATACTGATTTTGTAGCAAAGCACACTCTTTTACACATTTCTGTATTCAACCAGTTTCAATTAATGAGCGTATATTTTTTGTTGCTCACAGATACAACAACATGTCCCTGATGGGGTTTGAGCCTGTGCAGCCGGCAATCCTTACAGTACTAGTTGGACATGTTAACCACTCTCACACACACACAGCTGCAAGATGTTTGAAAGATTTATATGTTAACTTTTACTTAAATTGAGACATATCTTGATATTTAAAGCATTTAATAACATATTTTTATTCACAGATAAAAAAGAAAAGCATTTGTGACAATTAAGCCCTATAATATCACATTTATGTTATGCTCTCTTGAAGAATTCAAAATTACAATTATTTTTTTGTGTTTTTATCTAAGCTGCAAATCTGATGTTTAACTGAAAGAAAAAGGCAATACTTACCAAATTCTGTAAGCCATCACATGAAAAAAAAAGATATAAAAAAATCAATAATACCAAGACAACATTCCAGTAAAACATGTTTCACTATAACAGAAAGATATATATCAGATAAGAGTCAGTGTCAATTTACCAAGATCATTATATGAAAATAAAAATTAGGTGAGTGACTGTCATAATTTTACATTGGTTATAAGAATGTCCTTGTTTTTATATAAATATTATAAACCTAGAAACTTACTAAATAGAAGTTCTGCAATCTGACAGATTGATCTAATAGCAGATATAAATATTGGCCATTGCCAGGATAACCATTACAAGCTTGTTTAAAACACTTGTTAACATGCTTTTTTTACTACAATAGCATGCTTGTTTACAATAATAACATGCTTGTAAATAACACACTTTTTAATTCAAATCTCATGCTTGTTTACTACAATAATTTGCTTGTTTACTATAATAACATGTTTGTTTACTACAATAATTTGCTTGTTTACTATAATAACATACTTGTTTACTACAATAATTTGCTTGTTTACTATAATAACATACTTGTTTACTACAATAATTTGCTTGTTTACTATAATAACATGCTTGTTTACTACAATAAGATGCTTGTTTACTTCAATAACACAGTTGTTAGCCACAATTAATCAGTTGTTAATTACAATAACATGCTTGTTTAATACTACAGTAACATGCTTGTTTACTAGAATAGCATGCTAGTTTATTATAACATGCTTGTTTACTACAATAATTTGCTTGTTCACTATAATAGCATGCTTGTTTACTATAATAATATGCATGTTTACTACAATAAGATGCTTGTTTACTTCAATAACACAGTTGTTTACAACAATAAAACACTTGTTAATTACAATAATAGGCTTGTTATTACTGTAACAGGCTTGTTTACAATAATAACATGCTTGTTTACTAAAAAAACATGCTTGTTTACTACAGTAACACACTTTTTAATTCAAATCTCATACTTGTTTACTACAATTATGTGCTTGTTTACTACAATAATTTGCTTGTTTACTAAAATAACATGCTTGTTTTCTACAAAAAAACAAACACACTTTTTAATTCAAATCTCATGCTTCTTAACTACAATTATGTGCTTGTTAACAATAATTTGCTATCAAAGGCTTGTTTATAACATAACATGTTTACAAGTATATCAGGTTTGTTTACTCACTATAACACCCTTTTACTAAAATAAAATGCTTTTGTTTATGGCTATAATTTAATAAGCAGAACAAGAGCTGTCGGTAGGACAGCATGCTCGACTATTCTTAGTGCTTGATAGTAAAAAAAATGCCTGATACAGTTACCTTCTCCTGTTTACAGGTTGGGGTCATGATGGTGAACAAGTGTGCAAAGTTTCAAAGCCATATGTCAATGGACTTTGAAAATATTTGAACTATTACAAAAACTTTAACGGTAAATTCTAAGTCGAAAAAGGGGCAATAATTCTGTCAAAATGCTTGATAGAGTTACCTCCTCCTGTTTACAGGTTGGGGTCATGATGTTGAACAAGTGTGCAAAGTTTCAAAGCCATATGTCAATGGACTTTGAAAATATTTGAACTATTACAAAAACTTTAACGTAAATTCTAAGTCGAAAAAAGGGGCATAATTCTGTCAAAATGCTTCATAGAGTTACCCCCTGCTGTCTACAGGTTGGGGTCATGATGTTGAACAAGTGTGCAAAGTTTCAAAGCCATATGTCTATGGACTTTGAAAATATTTGAACTATTACAAAAACTTTAACGTAAATTCTAAGTCGAAAAAGGGGCATAATTTCTGTCAAAATGCTTGATAGAGTTACCTCCTCCTGTCTACAGGTTGGGGTCATGATGGTGAACAAGTGTGCAAAGTTTCAAAGCCATATGTCAATGGACTTTGAAAATATTTGAACTATTACAAAAACTTTAACGTAAATTCTAAGTCGAAAAAGGGGCATAATTCTGTCAAAATACTTGATAGAGTTACCTCCTCCTGTCTACAGGTTGGGGTCATGATGGTGAACAAGTGTGCAAAGTTTCAAAGCCATATGTCAATGGACTTTGAAAATATTTGAACTATTACAAAAACTTTTAACGTAAATTCTAAGTCGAAAAAGGGGCATAATTCTGTCAAAATGCTTGATAGAGTTACCTCCTCCTGTCTACAGGTTGGGGTCATGATGGTGAACAAGTGTGCAAAGTTTCAAAGCCATATGTCAATGGACTTTGAAAATATTTGAACTATTACAAAAACTTTAACATAAGTGGTTACGCCGACGCCGACGCTCGGGTGACTGCAATAGCTCTACTTATTCTTATTGAATAGTCGAGCTAAAAACTTACCATGAGCAGTAACTAAAGACTGCTGGGTAAAACTAACAGTAGATCCTGCCCCATTTCGAGATGAAGTCCATCCTATGTTGAAAATTGACGGCACACCATTGTATGTTCGAGCTAAAGTTACAACAGAACAAGAAAATAAGGCACACAAACCTATAACAAACCTTTTATGTTACGCTAATACAGATGCTGATGCACAGGTGTGTAAAACAGCCACAATATTCTTGAGCTTATAGTTGTGCCAAAAATTATTTTTATTCAAATAAATGAAAATAGAAATTCTAATTTTGAGTGCAACCTGTAAATTCATTATTATTATCTCTAATGTGACAGAAGTGTTTGAAATTATTTTTTGTCCAATAGGATTGCAGTATTTCAAATGAATCGTAACAAATTTACTTGGTAAATCGGCAAACTTTTAATCAGTCTAGTAAATCGACTGTTTATAAAAATAGTTTAAAACACTTAAGCTGGTTAAAATTTATTAGTAAGCATTTACAAAGATAAATTGGTCATGCGTCCAGATGCGCCTGACCAATTTATTTTTGTAAATACATACTAATAAACTTTAACCTATACTTAGCATTTAAATACAAGTCATTCAGTATTATATAGCAACAAACTCAAACACTAAATAAGCCGCGTCACGACAAAACCAACATGAAGTGTTTGCAACCAGCATGGATCAAGACCAGCCTGCGCATCCCTGCGGTCTGATCAGGATCCATGCTGTTCGCTTACAGACCCTATAACAAGTAGAGAAACTGACAGCAAACAGCATGGATCCTGATCAGACTGCACGGATGCGCAGGCTGGTCTGGATCCATGCTGGTCGCAAACACATTATGTTGGTTTTGTTGTTGGCTCAAATATTTTCACATACATTCTTGCATACATATATTATATGGTTCTTTCCTTTGATCTATTTATTAATCTGCAATATGTTTTTAAAGGGATACTTAGGCACATGAATGACAAAACATTAAATTGATCTTATTTATTCAAATCATGTTAAAATGACATTTTTAAAATTTCTAGCATGAATTTCTGTATAAGTACTATACATTTTGGACTTGAAGCGTAATTATATATGAATATGTTGAATGAAATTAAGACGCCGACAGAGTCACCAAGTAGTTTTAAAACAAGTCATGGAACTAAAAAAAACTCTGGAAATTAAAATGGCAGATATTGTGAATATTGTTAGATCGAAATAAGCCATAGTCATAGATTTGGCAGGTATTTTTATGTTTTCATAGTTTTCTATAAGACTTATTGTAAAATCTGAATGTTCTAACCTGACCCATGTGGGTCAAGTTGAGAAACCACCATTTTATTCTTTATAAGGAGAAAAGTTTTGTTCCTGTGATTGTTTAGTGTATTCATTTCAAGGACATTTATAGAATATTGAAAGAAAAATTTAAATCGTAGAAATGAAATTTTGCCTGTGTCTCCCTTTAACAATTCTTTTTTTTTTTTAATTGGGACAAGTTATGAAACAAGAGCTGTCGGTAGGACAGCATGCTCGACTATTCTTAGTGCTTGATAGTAAAAAAAATGCCTGATACAGTTACCTCCTCCTGTTTACAGGTTGGGGTCATGATGGTGAACAAGTGTGCAAAGTTTCAAAGCCATATGTCAATGGACTTTGAAAATATTTGAACTATTACAAAAACTTTAACGTAAATTCTAAGACGAAAAAGGGGCATAATTCTGTCAAAATGCTTAATAGAGTTACCTCCTGCCTGTTAACAGGTTTGGGGTCATGATGTTGAACAAGGTGTGCCAAAGTTTCAAAGCCATATGTCTATGGACTTTGAAAATATTTGAACTATTTACAAAAACTTTAACGAGTAAATTCTAAGTCGAAAAAGGGGCATAATTCTGTCAAAATGCTTGATAGAGTTTACCTCCTCCTGTCTACAGGTTGGGGTCATGATGGTCTGAAACAAGTTTGCAAAGTTTCAAAGCCATATGTCAATGGACTTTGAAAATATTTTGAACTATTTACAAAAACTTTAACGTAAATTTCTAAAGTCGAAAAAGGGGCATAATTCTGTCAAAATACTTGATAGAGTTACCTTCTCCTGTCTACAGGTTGGGGTTCCTCATGATGGTGAAATACAAGTGTGCAAAGTTTCAAAGCCAATATTCAATGGGACTTTTGAAAATATTTGAAACTATTACAAACCTCTTTAACGTAAATTCTTAAGTCGAAAAAGGGGCATAATTCTGTCAAAATGCTTTGATAGAGTTACGCTCCTCCTGTCTACAGGTTGGGGTCATGATGGTGAACAAGTTGTGCAAAAGTTTCAAAGCCATATGTCGATGGACTTTTGAAAATATTTGAACTATTACAAAAACTTTAACATAAGTGGTTTCGCCGACGCCGACGCCGACGCTCGGGTGACTGCAATAGCTCTACTTATTCTTATCGAATAGTCGAGCTAAAAAACAATGCCCATTACTTATTCTTGAAATTTACAAAATCACACTAAATGAAGTCATCTACAAAAAAAATAACTTACTTACCTTGATTGTGATTTTTTTTTGCCTTTGAAAATGAAGAGAAATTCAAGGAAAGATAACTCAAAAGATGAGGCCATCCTTAAAAAAATGTTTGTTTGCAGTAACGCGACCGACTCACAAAATTTGCCCCTACTCAAATTTTTTTTTCATGGTCTGAATAATTTTTTTTTTTTTTTTTGGATCAAAAATTATGCCTTGTGCTTTGTTTTCGTTCTTTTTAAAAGGTTTTAATAGGAAGGGAAATAAAAATGTAGTTCTTATTAAAATTAGGAATTAAGTTATCAATTTATTAATTGTTACCAGGTTATCAAAAGCATATATTGTCCTTTGCATTTTGAAATTCAATGTTTTTTTTGAGAGTAACAGTTCAATAAAAAAAAAAAAAAAAAAAAAAAAAAAATCGACCCTTACCTACCCCACCATTGGGAAAATTCTGGGTCGGGTTACTTGCAACAAACATTTTTTTTAAAAGGATGGCCTGAGATTGCTAAAACCTCCATTTTGTTTTCCCTTAAAATGTCGTCTATTAACATACTTTCAGAATAATTTCCCAAAGTTTTAATAATAAATTCTATTTACAACAGTTTTCTTTCTGTTGATTATGTCCCTTATATTGAAAAACTGTAGCCATTTTTTTTTTGCTGAGTAAATTATGGTGGCAAACCAACCACTGGTCCTGTGATTTTTTCTCAAACTTATTTTGAGAAAGAGGCCTAAGCCTCTTGATTTTGGGAAAAATTAATCCCTAAAATTGCAAAAATTTGGGAAGTAAAAAAGCAGGTTTAGGTCAAGATTTTTGGGAAAACTGCGTGATTTTAATGAAAATTACAATTTTGAAGAGGCCTTTTATTGGAGTCTGTTATATAAGCAGGAAAAATCACTGACTGTAAACAGTCATATGGCATCTTTCCAGCTTGACATGTGGAGGAAGACCATTGGTGCCAATTTGTGCATTATTTGCATTGTCCGAGGCACAAGAAGCGCCTCAGTAGAACCACTCAAATTGATACATCTTAACTAAATCATGTACTTACTTGGAGAACAGATTCCTAAACAATGACATTCACAGACTTAAATAAATTGTGTACTTACTTGGAGAACAGATTCCTCCTGCAGTTCCTGTCTTTGAGCTAGCAATGTATGCCAAACCTAGTACACTACTAGACATCTGTTGAGCTGTAAACAAATGTGCCAGACAAAAGCTGCTGTACTCTGTAGATTCACCAAATGCCTGCAAGAGAAAAAAAAGAACTATAAATAATATACATTTCTTGCATGTTAGACTGGATTTTCAAATATAAATGTGACACCTGTGCTAGAAAATATCTAGAGGAAAGGAAAACACCAATAATATACATTTACATTTCTTACATTTGTGACTGGAAAATGTCATCTTACAATCTGCACTCTCCCAAGATGTGTCACATGTTTTAAGTAAGGTCAGTCCACAGGCTTTATGAATGAGTAACATGCATAGTTAGGGGAATAGGAACAGATTAATTGATGTCTGTCTTATATCAATATTCATGATTCATGATGCTGTTATGAATGATGTTGTAAATTAATATGTTTCTGTGAGAAAATAGTGCAAATTAGAAGTATTTAATATTATTTTTTTAAATTTTTTGAAAATTTTTACCTTAAATTTCCCCAAGGGCAAACCCCTCAAAATCCTTTTTAAATTTCCCCCTAACTTAACAAAACAAAACCCAATTTAAATTTATTGTTTTTAAAAGTCTATTAGTTTCAAACTATAAAGATTTTAAAATAAAAATTAAAAAAAAGAGCAGGAGTTAAAAAGACAATCTTTGGGAATTGGGCGTTTTAATCCCCGCTTTTTTTACAAAAAAATTGCTTTTTTTTAAAGGGGGGTTTTTACCCATGAGATCCCTTTAAAAATAAACTGTCCATAAAACCGCTCAGTCAAAAAAAAATTTTTGTGCTTTGACCCGAAAAGGGGCATAACTCTGTAGTAAAGTAACTCAGTGTTATGGGACCTGTGCCGATTATGTTAGATAATCAAGGAGAACAAACGAGTGAAGTTTCAATCCAGTCCCTTCAGTAGTTTTGAAGATAAATACTTGCATACAAAAACTTAACCAAAATGTGATGGGACAGCAACAGTGACATCAAGGTGTGCACAACAGCTCTCCCTATTCTTCAGTCAAGCTAAAAATTAAGGTCCTGTGTAATGGTGCTTTACACCATACATGTAAAAGAACCAGTTTTTCAATTTTATCCTGACTGGAGTTTATTCTGTATCCACTGGTACTTCTCTAAAAAAATGAAATACTAACAATCTTCTGGGGAAACGCTTATAAATTTGGTTTTTTTATTGGGGGGCTTTACCCGTAAACATTGAAAAAAAAAGAGCCGCGTCAAAGACAAAACCAAAAAGTAAAGGGTTGCCCACCAACAGGAATTTCCGACCCGCCTGGGGCAATTTCCCCGCAGGGCTATCAGGGGTCCATGCTGGGTTTTCTATCAAAATTTCCTTTTAAAAAGTAAAAGGGTTTTTTAAGCGAAAAGCATGGATCCTGACAGACTGTTTCGGATGCGCAGGGGGGGGCTGGATCCATGCTGGTTTGCAAAAGGGTTACGTTGGTTTTTTCGGGGATGTGGCTCAAAAAAATTAAAAACTTCTCTCAGAATTCTTAGGGTTTCCCCAAATTTTTTTTCACTCTGTTTTTAGGGGTAGAGTTATCAGGGCGTCAACCCGGGGGGTGGGTCCCCTCGTTTAAAATACCCTCTGTAAAAAAAGTTAAAACCCTTTTAATTTTTAAAAATGAAATATTTCCCACAAAACCCCATATCAAAAAGATGATCAAAAGATCCGAAAAAATGCCCCTTTTTGTCAAATCAAAGAACCTAAATGGAGTCCCCTTGATATGTTTTTTTTGTTGTTCTGGTCACTGCAATCTTTCATTTGTGTCATAGACTGAATATTGCTTAACTCATTACTGCATGAGCAATTTGTGAAAAAAATGGCTGTTTTTTTTTTTTTATTAAAAAGGGCCCTTTCACAATTTCGAATTTCTAAAAAGAAATTTTTAGGCTGCTTTCAATTTTTCATCAAACTTGGGGACAAATGTTTTATGAATTATAGCCCTTTAAAAGAAAGCTCAATTTTTAATTTTCCCCGTTTTTTCCAATTGTCAAAGATTTGGGGCAAAAATTAAAAATTTTTCAAAAATCACTTATTTTTTTCGTTTATTTTTCCAAACCAATTTTAAAATTTTTTTAAAAACATTTCTCAAAGGGAAAAAAATGTTTGGGGTCTAAATTTGGCAAATTTTTACCATTTGAGGCCTCAAAAAGGGGGAGGGTAAAATGGCGTGAAAAGACGTCTATATGAAAAAATAGGTAAAAAATTAACCCTTAACCAGAAAGAACCGGATATGGCTAGGCATTGCCGCCACTTTGGTATGAAGCCAGACCGTCTGCACTACCAATTTTTTTGTATTTTTATATCTAAAATCCTTTACCTTATGCATGGACTGTTTCCAAATTCATTTTGGGCAAATTTATTACACCAAATTCATTAGGTTAAGATGCTCTGGGACATTAGAGATGTTATAATCTTCATTTGCCTCACAATGAGGCAGACTTAAGAAAAAGTTGGGTTTTTTTAGTTTTTTGCTTAAAAAATTTCCCTAATATGATTTCCTAATTTTCAGAAAATTATATTTTCAGAAATTTAAAAGCATGCATCTTAAATAACAAAAATTTTAATGCAAAAGTTTTTGATTTTCTTGCAAAAACTTCTTTTACAAATTAAACATAAACATTTTCCATTCATAGAAGATAATGACTTAAATCCTAGAGTTAAATTAAGTTACACAATGGAAAAAAGGGGGGGCCAAAACAAGCATAATTCTTTTGATTATAAAAATTTATCTGAAAATTTTTCTTAGCAACTCTTTAAATTTTTAGGGTTTGCTATTCAATAAAACCCTTTATGAAAAATCTGTTGAAATTTATACCCCCCCTGTATATTTTTTTTTAATATCAAAACCCTTTTTTTAATTTTTAAAAATTTCCCGGGAAACCCTTTGAATGGCAGAAATTTTTATTTTAAAACCTTTTTTAAAGGAAAGTTTTAAGGAAAAAAAATGAAATTTTTCCCCCAAAACAATCTTATATTTTATTACGATTGTATGAATTTGGGTTTTTACTGACTAATTCATTAAAAAACCCAAAACTAAAACGCTTAAATTTTTACTAAAATTTAATCTTTTTACTGGGCATTTTAATCAAACAGTATTTAAAAACAAACAGAGTAGGGGGAGTTAAATCTGATAGTTCAAAGGTCATAGATCTATACATGTATGGAATACCACAATAAAAAAGAAAAACTTACGCCTTTGAGTTCGAATCCGTAACCAGTACCTAAAGAGAAGCTGGTTGACCGGTATATTTGGTTTACTCTGTTGATGATTTCTGACTGAAATTTCAAAAATACAAAATAATCATACAATTTGTAAGAAAAAAGACATATCAAATTCCACAAATATCAATTAAAATAAATGCAAAAGCAGTTAGAAATTCCAGCTAAAGAATTATCATTTTAATCATAGAGAATGCAACTAACTACTGGATTATAAAGAATTTTCTAAATCCAAAAAGGGTCATAATTCTGTCAAAGTCCATGCTAGAGTTATGGGCCTTAAATAGTGACCTTCTGTTACTAGTATCCTCTCAAATTAGAGTGTGAAGTTTCAACCAATTTCATTCAGTTGGCGATACCAACCTTCACCAAAGTGTGACACTGACGACTTGAATGAGTACAATAACTCTTCCTATTCTTCGAATAGGTTAATCAAAAATTAATGAAAGGTGACTGTTTTTAAAAGTTTGGGTTTCATTGGATACTCAGCAAAAAAGAACTTTTTTGAAACTCCGGGGTCAAATTGCAGGGTTTTCATTGGTCAGAGTACATTCTGTGATAGGTTTTTTGACCAAAACAAAAACCTGAGATTTTTAATTAGTTAGAAAAATTTTTTTATAATGTCAACCCAGGGGCTTATTTCCAAAATGTTTTGCAAAGCTTAAAATCAATTTTAAAACATACTATGGGTCAAACCTTGATGTTTAATATTTTAAATCACAGGAAAAATTTATTTTAAAATTATGAATTTTTTTTACCAAAAAGTCTAATGTTTTGGGAAAAGGTCCAGTAAAATTGGTTCTTTCCCTTTAAAAAAAGCCAACAAAAATTTAAAAATGGGGATTTCTAAATTTGGGTTTGAAGGGAAAATGTGTTTTTTCTTGAAAAACCAAAAAGGGACTGTGTTTAAAATTTTATGTCAAATATTTAGCATAGTATTAAACTTTAAAAAATAAGAAACTTACAATATAGTTGGCAGTATAATATTTGCTTCCACGTCCCATATGATTGTAGAATTTATAATCGGCAACTACCATCAGCTTACAAGTCTTCTTTTCTGTTGTCTGCCTCTTCTCTCTATGTGATGTATCTAAAAACAGATGTTATTATAAATCAATTTATCACACATCTGTGCCGATTCTGCGACTCCGTAAAAATGGTATTGCACGGCCGTGCATATATTTTGATGTGACGTCATTAGCGTTATACAAACATAGTGTAAAATGACTCTTTTATTACTTTAAACAGTCTAAATTTTGGGTGTGTTATAAATAGAATATTAAATTTGTGTAAGTTCATTACTGAATTTATTGAACTCGTTGAATAAAATAATATTATGCTCGCCAGAGGTTCGCAATAAGTAGTAATTTAATTTTCAACATTGTGCAATAAATTCTCGCAGTATTTTAAACTTAACACTCATTTCAATATCCTCTATTTTTAATAAAAATGATATTCTACACTTTGATTAGCTCTCAGTTCAAATGAACATCGGCTAAGATCTGCTTACTCTAAATCACAGAGCTATTCTATAATTTGGAGAGGAAGCTGTATGACATCTGTATCAAGGATTTATTATCACGCCCAAGCTTCACATTTTTGCAAGATTTAAAGAGACAACATTTGACTCGACAAATTCAAACCCCCGATTTTTTCACACTGCCATGTTGTTATCTGGCAATTCAAAGAAATATATTTTTGGTTGTTATTTTTAATACATGCTGAAAGTTAATAATGAATTTGTTTAAGTTGATAGGGAAACTCCCAAGCTTTACTAGTGGTGGACAACGTACGGTGTAAATCTGAGCATTATATCCAGGTATGAGCTGCTATTGAAGTAGAACTACTGTAAACTAGTTGGAAATCTCAAGCTTAATCTCATAAAAGAAGCCAAAGTACCTGGCAGGATACAAAACATATCATATCTAAACTGTAGAAAGCTTTATAGCTTTCAGTCCAATGTTATAGTGAATAAATAGCTATAATTATTAGATAACAGAATTTTTCCCCCCTTTTTTGACGGGGGTAGGTGTTGTAATATGCTGTAATATTATCAAGCAATATGCGAACCAGTCTGGCTTGACCTTTAAAAGTGATCAATTAACAACGTACCTTTGTCATACTGCTCGAATACAACTTCATCAAAACTTTCCTCCATGTCTGTTACATTTGGATGCACAGATCCACAAAGTGGTGCACTGTAAAATGTTGAAATATTAAAACCCGTTAAAGTTTTAAAAAATAAGCAATTTTTTTTTTCCCCGATAATTTAAAATAAGGGTACAAAGTACATTTTTTGTAAAGTTTAGTTTAAATTTTTAATACATGTTTCCCACAAAATTGGTGTAAATGGTAAAAAACTCATTTCCCCTTTGGGATAACACTGGCTAGGACATTAGAGGATTAGAATACATGGGGTTCTTCCCAGTAGAAGATGAGTCATGCAGAGGCTTTCCATCACAGTCACGGAGCAGTGGGCCATTAAAAGGAAGAGGCCTGAAAAAACCGCAGCACATGCTCCTCATGGCAAAGCTTGCCAGAGAGAGCGTCCGAGTTGGCTCTGGCTAAGAGACCCAATGAATCACCTGGCAGCCATCGAAGACACTAGGGTTTATGGGCTGGATCACAACACTACCTTGCCCCACCATCTAGAGGATGTTTCTGAGATAAGGGGGGCGAAACATCCAGTGACAGATGGGCACTAGGTTGATGATATCTACGTAGTCAGCCAGTGTATCTGTATTTACACATCATTTAGATGCTTTTTTCTTTAATAACTCAATGGGAAACACTACAGTATTTCTATTATAAACAAAAGTCAAACAAGGGAAATCAAAGTGGGGGACTAGGGGAAAAGGGGGTTTTCCCTTTCTGAACCCGGGGAATATGGGGTTAAAGCCTACATGGGTAAAAAACCAAAATTTTTTTTCCCATATGACTTCCATTAGGGGGTTGGGTTCCGGAAACAAACTGATTAAAAAAAGGGTTACAAAAAATTTGCTTAAAAATTTGAGTTAAAAAAATTTTTACCCCAACAGCCCTTTTCACATTTTTCTCCTTTTCCAAACGGGAATTTAATAAAAACACGGGGCAAAAAAGGGAAAAAATTTAAACACACTTATGGCATCAGGAAAAATAAAACCTTAACGCCCCATTTTTATTTCAGCATTTTTTATATTTTAATTTTAAAAAAAAACCGTTTTTTTTTTTTTTTGGGGGGTTTTTTTTTAAATAAATTTTTTTAAATTTTTAATTTTTCGGCTAATTTTTCCCTGTAGTGTTTTAGATTTTAAAAACATAACATTTTTTCTTTTTTTGTGTGTTTTTAAAAAAATTTTTTTTTTTAACTTTTTTAAAGGAGACTGTAGGGGAAAATCATAAATTTGACCCTGCGTCACACAAAACCAACTTTAAGGGGTTGGGACCAGCATGGATCCAAAACCAGCCTGCGCACCCCACCCATCGATAAAGGGATCCATGCTTTTTCGAAAACAAACCAAAACAAGGTAAGGAAATTTAAATTGGGGGATGGGAAAAATATTATATTTTTAATATAAGAAACCAAAAAATATATGACAAATGTGTTTTAAAATGCCCCTTTCCTTTTCTGTATGCAATTTTTGGGGTAGATTTCGGGAATGATTTTAAACTTTTCAAAAATGTTTTTAAACACGGGGCTAAAAAAATAAAAAAATTTTCCATTTTTGAAAAACAATATCCCCAATGATTAAGAAAAAAAGTGGGGGTTGGGTAAACCAAAAATTTTTAAAAGGGAAAAAAGGGGGCCCCCCCAGAGAAATAATTTATCAAATTTAAACCTGAAGTATTTTTAAAGAAAGGGTTTTTCCTTATTCCAAAGAAATTTTTTTAAAAATGAGTTGAGGGGAAAAAAAAATTAAAATGCAAGAAAAAAACCAGGCATAATTTGTCAAAAATTCATAAAAATTTTTCCCTTTTTCTTTCTCAAAGGGGCCAAAATTTAAAACCCAAACAATTTTAACCCCCCCACCCATTTCCCATCCCCCCCCCCAAAAAAAAATAAAATAAAAACATTGGATGGTGCAATCAAAATTTTAACAAAGAGTTTGACACTGACTCAGTTTTGTAGGAAATAGCTTCTCTATTTAAATATTTAAACAAAGGGGCCATGATGGCCCTGAGGTCGCTCACCTGTATATAGCCCCCCCAACCCCCCACCCAACGTTGCAGGGCAAATTTAACCCTAAGGGGCTTTTCTTTGCACAAAACTTGGTAGACACCCATAAGATGTTTCAATGCTAAACATCTAAGCTCTAGCTCATTGGCTTTTTAAAAGAAGATTTTTTAAAGTTTTTACTATACACATATAGTTAAAAAAACAATGACACCCCTGGGGCCGGGCCAGTTTTGACCCAGGGCTTTTTATTTGAACAAATATTTGTAGACATTTACTAGAAGATGTTTCTTGCTTAATATCTAAACTCTAGCTATTTGGTTTTCTCAAAGAAGATTTTAAGTTTTTGCTATACACATATAAAAGAAAATTTCAATGACCCCCGGGGGGCGGGGCCAATTTTGACCCCAGGGCTTTTTTTGAACAAACTTTGTAGACACTCACTAAAAGATGTTTCATGCTTAATATTTAACTCTAGCTATTTGGTTTTTTTTCAAAGAAAGATTTTTAAGTTTTTGCTATACATCATATAAGGAAAATCAATGACCCCCGGGGCGGTGCCAATTTTGACCCCAGGGCTTTTATTTGAACAAACTTGGTAGACACCTATTAGAACAATGTTTGATGCTAAATATCTTAGCCATAGCCTCTTTGAGTTCTTTAAAAGATTAGATTTTTAAGTTTACAAATATGCATTATAGGGAAAATCAATGACCCCCCGGGGCGGGGCCAATTTTTGACCCCAGGGCGCTTTTATTTGAACAAACTTGGTAGACACTTATTAGAACATTTATGCTAATATCTTTAGCTCTTAACTCTTTGGTTCTTTAAAAGAAGATTTTTAAGTTTTTACTATATGCATATAGGGAAAATCAATGACACCCTGGGGCAGGGCCAATTTGACCCCAGGGCTTTTTATTTGAACAAAACTTGGTAGACACCCATTAGAACATGTTGATGCTCAATATCTTAGCCATAGCTCTTGAGTTCTTTGAAAGAAGATTTTTTAAGTTTTTTACTATAATGCATATAGGCGAAAATCAATGAACCCCCGGGGTGGGTGCCAATTTTGACCGCCAGGGCTTTTATTTGAACAAACTTGGTAGACACCATTAGAACATGTTTCATGCTAAATATCTTAGCTCTAGCTCTTTAGAATCTTTAAAAGAAGATTTTTTAAGTTTTTTACAATATGCATAAGGAAAATCAATGACCCCCCGGGCGGGGCCAATTTTGACCCCATGGCTTTTATTTGAACAAACTTGATAGACACTCACTAGAAGATGTTTTCATGCCAATTTCTAAGCTCTAGCTCTTATGGTTTTTAAAAGAAGATATTTAAAACGTTTTTCTTTTTGGTTGCCATGGCAACCAGAGTTCTGCATGGGATTAAATTCTTTGAACAATTTTTAAAGGTGACCACTAAAGGAACATTCCTGTGAAGTTTGGATGAAATTGGCTCAGTGGTTTATGAGGAGATGTCATTTAAAGTAAAAGTTTACGGACGGACGATGGATGACGGACGGACGATGGACGGACGGACGACGGACGAAAAGCAATCACAAAAGCTCACCCTGTCACTTTGTGACAGGTGAGCTAAAAAAACAATTCTAACAGTCTTCCATTATTTTTATAAACAACCTTACCTCAAGGGTAAACTCTTCTCCATTTGAAGTGAAAACCCCTGTAACAACATTGTTTTCATCAACATGCAGAGCTGCCCGTGATCTAGCATCCCCTAGTATAAAAAACAACAACAAAATAAGCATTATGTATTACATATGGGAAGACATTACCTTTCTATTTATCTCTCAAACACTATTGTAAGTGTAAAATGTAGTAAAAATGCAAAACGTTAATATTTAATTTAGTCGAAATACACTTGTGCAAAATTATTTTAGGCTGGGGAAGTTATATTTTTGTTTTTACAGGCATTGTCCATGACTATACGGGACAGCCCTTGATCAACCTCACAGAAATAAGATACTTTATTTCCTTATTGTTAAGCACAAAAATGAGAAATACACTAGTTTTATCTTCAAGTAAAAGGTAATTTTATAGCTATTTATTATTATAGTAGTAGAACTATTTTTTATATAGAGAGCATGACCGACCTAATAAAATTACCTTTGTATGCATTTGACATATTTTTTGGAATGTTTTTTTTTTAAAGCATACAAAGGAGATTTTGTTACTTCAGTCTACATTTAGACACCTATATAACTGGTATCCAAAGGGGGAATAATTTCATGCTAGGTTTAGTAAAGTTATGGCCATTGACTGCCATTTGCATGTGATACAGGTTCAAAGAAATACTTTTAAAATTTATGGATATGATAGAACTTGCATACAAAAGCTCAATATTGATGTTCACAATGTTAATGATAAAAACTGTCAAACTCAAGAGTTAGATTTCTAGGTCTTAAACAGTGATCTAAACTTAAAATCCTAAATACATGTGTAAAGTTTTAATTATTTGATATCATCAGTAATTAATTAGATATGTAAAAACCTTTACCAACTATTCTCCATACAGACAATGTAGTTTAACATGTTTTAACGGTATACAAAATTTAAAAAAAAACTATAATTACCAACAACATGCCCTGATAAAAAGTTTTTCTGATCAAAACCATTCAACTGTTCCTTGGAGTTGTCACTGTGGATTATAGTTACAGAAAAGTCTGGACTAAATAAATCAAGGCTGGGTTTAAGTTCCAATGTGAAATTCCTGAAAAAGAAACAAAATTTGATATTGGTTATTTTTCACTATCTGCTAGGAAATCTCTTATAGAATGTTATCTGGACATTTTCTTTTGGTTGGGTTTATTGTTGTACCAACACAGTAAAGGTCATAATTGGCAACTATACTGGTCTTTACAATCTTTACTGGTAGAGGAAGACCTAAGGTGCCCATTCCATGCATAAGTATTTCAGACTTGAACAGGCTCCTGAGTGGAACCATCAAAGTTCTATAACCTGGATAAATAGCTTCCTCACAAAAAAGAATCCAAAGTAACTTATCCGGACATAAATATATTTTAAATTTTAAAAGAAATGTTAATACTACTTCTCTCTGTAATATATGGATGGTGCATTATAAATGTGAATTTAGAGAACATAAGTTTTGTAAGGTATTTTGTAAAACATCTAAAAAAAACTATGATGATTTACACGAAGTTTACGGTTATGAAATTTTCATTTGGACATTTGAGGATGAAACATAATTATGGTAACCACCAATCATGTGTCTCACTTCAGAACAATATAATGTAGAAATGCACCTCTCCAGAGTTTAGGGTGCAATTGCTACCCAAAAAGTTTTTTTTTCCTACCTGTCCTTGATTAGACAACACTTTTGTTTAATTGTACCAAAGCAGGGATTTTTTCCAGGATTTTGGGAACATGACCCATACCTATGTTTGCCTAAAATAATGCATGCCTTAAATTTTGTAGCAATTAAATGAATGCTAAAAATCACTGCCTATGATGGCATCTTCAAACATTTAACCACCGTAACACGGTGAAGAAGCCCTTATTTTCAAAGACTTAATTAGTCTTTATTCAATATTTTTATTTTGTTACTTTGAACTGGTGATTTTTTCCTGTGGATTGGGAAAATAATATACTACTTTCAATTGGGAATATGACCCAATGACGGCTATAATATAAGCCCCAAAAAATCCCTGCAAAGTATTGTAAGATTTTGCACAAGAACATAATGGCATCCTTTAAAGTCTAAAAAACAATGCACAAGCAAATCTTCTACAACATAGAGATTGGAACAAGAATAAAAATAGTGTATTATAAGTCTTATTTCAACTGTAATAAATCATAAAATCTGTCAAATCTAAGTGACATGTGGATACTTACTGTCCAAAAGCTGTTAGTGTAAGACGTTTAGAGTGAAGACTATCAGTTATATCTCTCTTTGATAATGTATGCACTGATACTTCTTTAATAATATCATAGTTGTGGAATTTATCATCCAGACTACCTGTAACAATAAATAAATACACGCATTAAATTTTATTCCACATTCTATGACTTATAGGGACAATTTTAATAATTCTGTATCATTTTTAAATGTTAAGCATACATACATGTAAGGAAGCTCCTGCTTTTTACAAAAACTATCAAGAAAGAGTCAAAATCATGGGCAGGTTATGTAACTTATAAAATGAACTTAATTTAAGACTCTGAATACATACAAAAGTGGATTCACAAACTTTAACGCAGAATTTAATAGGGGCCACAATTCAGTCAAAACAATGCTTAGAGTTTAGGCCTCCAAAAATAATATCAAAGCATAATGTGTCACTGAATCTTAAGTACTTGATGAGATATAAAATTGTACAAGCTACACTCCAAAATTTAAGGAAAATTTAAATTCTAAACTTAAAAGAGCAGGATACCTTTATTTGCGATATTGTTTAACAGATAATCTAAAGGTAGGTCATCTTTATTACGCATTGTGGCAGCTGTATCAATGAATTACAAGGTGAAATCTGTATTGCATTAAGATGTATTGCCATGGTTACAATTTCTTTCAAATACAAACATTGAGGACAAGGCCATCAAAGTTTAAGTCAATTATTCCCGATAGTATATTTGATTATTTAAGTTATATGTGATGCCATACATATTCAAATGGTAAGGGTCTGTCAGCCTGTGACATTTTGTTCATAAATTTGGACCATAATTAATGATATACATGTACTTAGCTCTGAGCCCATTTTTGCTTTGTTCTCTTTATACGTTAGAAATTAGAGGACAAATTTCAATATAGTTGGGGAATATGTCATGATATTGAATTGTTTACTAATTATGGGAGATAATATGTAAGTGGCCAGACATGCAGCTCAGTCGGTTTAGCCGCAGTACAGTATTGCAAGGGTCCTGGATCCAGGTCAGGCTGCCATTTTTTCTCACCCTGTGACATGAGCATACAAAATTGGCTCATGGACAATGATTAGGATTCAAACTTTGTATTACAATCGAATGAATCTTGCACTAAGTTCAAATAAAGTATGGAGAAGCCTTGCTTTTTGGTTAATCCTTTTAGTTAATTAAAGCAGCATGATATGTAAACACTGTGAGCACATTGAATGTTTACTACTCAGGTTATGTTAGGGCATACCTGAAATAAAACAAATATTATGTAGTACTTTGTACAGCTAAGTAAATAAATTGCTCCAAATTTTGCAATTTTTTCTGGCCTCAGTTTTTGCGATAATTTACGGAATTTAAACAGTTGGAGCATAATGCAAATGACGAGTATCAGTTTTAAACTTACTTTCTGCTATGCATAGAAAAACTGTTCCAAAAATAAGAGTAGTAAGCTTCATTTTCTGGAAATATATTGAAATTTCCCGGTTTATTTGTGTTGGGAATGTAAACAATTCATAACATGATTGGTAACACGCGTAGACGCTTGTTTTATGACTGAATATTATTTTGCGGCAACTAAACCAGTCTGCGGATCCCATTGGATGCAACTTACAATATTATATTGCAATATGTTTTCAGATATCCCAATATATTGAAGCTATAAACTTTTAATAAAAACATAATATTCTATTGAAGATATAAGTGTAGATCTTTTCATCTTGTATTATGTTGACTTCAAATGTTTTCATCTTGTATTATGTTGACTTCAAATGGCATTTACATTAAGTTATTTAAACTTCATTATTTACAATGCCTTTTTAACATATATAGCGGGATCTTTTATTGAAGGGCCTTTGAAATAACATTTTATGGGACATAATATTAAAAGATAAATTCAATAAGTCAAGGTTCTGTAGGTCTTACCTTTGACATTCAAGTATTTTTATAGTTCAGAATATATCGCAATATACAACTGGCGATATAACCACCTCTATGTACATTGTGCACAATCAATTGAGCGTAGCCTATCAAATCACTGTGAGGAGTTTGTGCTATGATGATACGCATGCATGCTCTGTCCTCTGGTACTTGACATTAGCTCTTATAAAACACTTGTGCAGTAAACATTAAAAGCTAGAAACTATCCTATAGGGTCTGTGTTATCAAACAATCCCTTGAAGGGTTTTGTTCTTTTTAGATTACATTTTGCGACGAGGATTAATACAATTATAACGCTTTTTTCTTTTTCTAGTTTTGATTTTCATAGCATCAAACAAATTTTAAAGTTTTTACATCTCACTCCTTGAGATTTTTTTTCTCCTATATGTATGTCAAACTGCGGGAACTGCGGAAGTACTGTTATTTTACTTACACAGATTTTTATTTCATGAAAGCCTTGCTGTTCACCTGATGATGTTACTTCATGGAAGTCTGTAGGTCAAATCTATGTTTAAAAAATGCCAGTTAGAAAAGTGCAATGGTCTAAATAGAGTAGAAAGTCCGGATTTTTCATTTTTTTATTTTTCTTTTATTTTATTTTTAATTTTTCAAACTCCACGTGGAAATGTTTCTTCGACCGACGTTACTGGGAAAAAAAAAACACACAGAAAAAAATGCATTAATTTAAGGACAAATAATTGACCAAGTTAACTTGTACGCTGCCTTAAACTATAAGTACACACGCGGAAACATGAGTCATTCAAATATACAAAAAAACGGGTAATTTAAGTGGTGTAACTGGCATCAACAACAATAATGTACATATTTCTATTGTATTTTGATCAGTCATATGAAGTACACGGACATACATTTTAGGTGATCTCGGTCAGAAGTAAGATATTGAAGTTGCGCGGAAAAGTTGTGGTAAACGCCTTTTCATCGTGCATGTAAAATGAGGCTGATTTGTTGAACAGATTTAAAGAAACTCCACTAAGGTCTAATAGCTAAAGATAATAAAATTTGAAATTCTTTCATAAATCAAATGGGGACTTAAATTGGAAAACTTTGTAATAGATCATTTGTAAATATATTCTGTATTTAATTGATAATCGGCTTTTGATGTCACATTTGGACCGATTTGAGAGAAAAGCATTTCAACGTTTTCAATCTGTGTCAATTTGCGCTATAACCCTAATTAACCTAGCGGAGTGAGCGCATGATCTGAACATGAACATTTAATTTTATAGCATAAAGAATTATGTTAATAACATAACGAAACTTGATATTACACAACACAACACAATTCATCACAACACAACGTAACATACGATCAATAACAAAGCGGGCAGGATAGTCCAGTCATTCTAGCTCAAAATAGAGCCAAACCTCAAACAAATTGCAACAGAAAATATTTTGAGTGTTTTGAAACCCCATACCTATAATGTATAACATATCAAAAGTCTAGAAAAATCTAAATTGGAGAATGTTTTCAAAAATTGAGATCAAATATATGGGTATCATTGTATTTATTTTTTTAATTTGAACTCAATGTAATACACACATACAATTTTCCAATCAATTTGATATATAATATGCATAAAAATATAGCTTAATCTATCCCTATAGTAACATAAAGTAATCAAAAAGTTGTTTTTGTTTAAAGAAACTACTTTTACCTTTCTAAAATTTATAAATTAACTTAAGTGGGTGGGGTAATATTATATTTTTACATTGCTGTAGATCAACAATTTATTGAAAGCTCTATGTTATGATATTAAACAGTAAATACATAATGGTTTACATACATGTGAAAACTGTCAAGTTTCAACGTTTTATGAATTTAATTTACATTCCCATCAATATTTAATGCATATATTGAAATATTTATATTAACATTGTACAGCTAGTGGGTGGGGTAATTTTATACAAAATAAAGAAACATTTAGGAAATTTATATTGTCTATGATAATAATATTGAGTTTTATATTAACTTGAATACTTTCAAGCACATCTGTTGTGTTTTTTTCTGAGTCATTAAATAACATCATGACATTGGGTCAAAAGAGGTTACATTGACCTTTTGGAAGGTCAATTGCAAATATTTGATACATTTGAGCATAAAATGTAAAAAAAAATATTTGCAAATTTTAATTTGTAAAATATCTTCGCTAAGCATAAGCACAAGAATGTCATGATTTTTACAAAGCGTCACTCGCTTCTGTAATTTCTGGTCGACCAATCTTTCACTTTTTATCACTAGATGGTAGCACCTGAAATTCTTCTGGTATATCTTTTCCAGTTCTGAAATTAGAGGAGCATATACATGTTTCATGGTAAAGAGCATCGGCTACAAGCAAGTCGTGAACCTGTTCTATCCTTGCTCTCACTGTATTAGACAAACAGTCATTCCTCTGTATGCTTATATTCAAAATAGTAGGTTATAGTGTCCTTACTGGCGAAACATCACATTTCCTTGTTTTACCCTTACTTATTACAGATTGACCACAATATAAACAATCTTTTTTGTATGAAAACTTATCAGTCATTGATCTCAATTGTGTTAATGGTGGCATCAGTGTTTACTTTTTCTGTCTTCGTGTCTCTTTTAGTGTAATGTGGGTTACAGTACATCTTTCTACACTCAATGTGAATATATTATTCCGATTCAACTTTTATTTCTCACTGACAGCATTTATTCCCTTGCATTCCTTTTCGTTGCCTTTAACTGTCTTTGTATGATCATCAAATCCGACAGGAGTTCCATCTTGAAAAAAAAAACAATAACTGATATTGTAAGATTTATAAAATCTTTTTTTTTTACATTATATGGAGGTTGATCCAGAATTACCCAAAATTTGTTTATAATTCTGATAACTTTTTTTATGTTTTCTTCATTAAATTTATAAATGCGCAAAGATCAATGTTTCTTCTATTTAATTGTCAAATATAATTGAATAAAAACATCCAGTACCGTCTCAGGTCGCCTTAAATAACCATGGATACGCCACAGCAGCGCAACTCAAAGAACACAACGTTCGTTGAAATTTATAATACACCAAAGTGTTCGACACAATATTTGCCGAAGGTTAATGTAAAGCCTGCTTAAATTTCACGTCGTTTTCACGTCGTATTATTGTGTAATCATTTGTAATTGCAACGTTTATTTATGCAAAAACGTCTTCATTAAGGCGTCGGAAAACGGCACTTTAATAAACATTTGTCAACTGTTTAGACAGCCTACCATAGAAACATCTAATATGATAAAAGAAATTCGACACAAGTATTTTGTTATTCATGCATACAAAACTTTTTGAGGGGTAAAGAAGTTTTTTTTACCAGACTGTTTGAGTAATTTTAAAGATAAATACATATCGTTTGCGGCATAGAAGAATACGCGTGAAGTTAACGTTCTCCGTCGCTGTGGCGATTGAAAAATACAAATATGCTGTCATATGCGGCCTTGAACAATTTCAATGCGATTTAAAAAAAATGAATTCTAATTGACGATTATGTGCTGTTTTTCATACTTTGTTTTCTTTCACATGCACTTTTTATCTAATTAAATTAAATGAATCATATATTTTATGCCTTCAACTTTAAGATGATCATGTGTATGAATCCAGCAATCAAAGCAATTAGCAGTTCAATAGTCATAGGTTTAGGTTGTTAGTACACTTACAGTGAAATGGCATCGGAGGATTCCCTATGTATAAGAACAATAGAACATCAACCTTTTTGCATAATGTGACAAATCCTATGTTTGCTTATATGGTAGGCATACTGTGTTTAATTATCATATTCTTGTTTCCTTGTAAAGAGGATATATTACGCAGTAATAAAGTGTTTGTTATATGAACTTTGAATAAATATTATTGAATTTATTGTTTAAATTACGGGTATTTCTGGATCATCCCTTTGTATTCTTGTATTCTGGTTATTGGTAGCTGATTACGTATTGTTTCAGTTATCCCAGAACAGTACGTGTTATTAAAGATGCAAGCCCTCGTTACCGCCACTGGACGGGTCACCTCGGACGGATATTCCGATCCGAACCGCAACATATTACAAGATATTATTTATTATTTTCTAAGGTTTTAATCTAAAATTATAAATATATTAAATACCTACTGGTTAAAGTGTTTGGAAGTAACGTAAAGATAAAGTCACATATTGAGTTTAAAAATGTCACCTTTCAATTTTAAGCATTTCTAATGCCCATCCGTGCATGCATTCAAAAATATTTGTACTGATATGTTACTATATGGAACTTATGACACACTTTAAAAGTTTGCTTATATGAAAAATATAATTAAAGTGATTTTGTGAAACAAATGTCTCAACTATGCATCTTTACCTTTAACTCGTATACTTCACAGTGTCCTCAGAACACATGATCGGGCATACCCATTGGCTCTGGTGTGTTGATGAAATCTGTAACATAGAAATTACTTCAAGTTTGAAAGGATTAGAATCTTATTTTCATATTTACGTGAAATAAGGTTCTATATAGAATACACAGATGTTTTTATTGTTACATGTATTTGCTTAAATTTTGATTTTAAAAGTGATAAAATTATACTATAGTCAACTTAGGTGTGCATTCCGAAAGAAATACTAATATATTGCTGTGAATTAATCTTATACACGTAATGCACTTTTTCAAATTCGCGCAGGTGCTATTGTATGCATAAAAGATTTTCTTTTAAATTATGGATCAACTGTGCATGTTTACCTTGAACTCATACACATCGCCAATCATGAACTATAACTAGAAATCACGTTGTTTATTGATAAATTTTTTCATGTCACCTTTTCATGTATAAATTTCTTCTATGTCTATTAAAAACAGAAAATAATTTCAGAT